TCTAAATAGTTTTAGAGGAAAATTCCCCACTTCACCAAAATTTGCAAAAACTCCTGGTATTTCAACTGTAACTAACCGTATTGTCTCCTTTTTACTTTTAATTTCATATTACACATCAGCCAGCCCATTTTTAGTTTATAATGTTCATTTAGAAGGTCAATTCACTTGCATAATAAGGATTAAAATTATTCATTTAATTTTATTATGAAGTACTAAATAGCTCAAATAAAACATGAAACAGCTGTTTACAGAGAATAATATTTTTTCTGTCCTTAAACTTTTTAACACATTGTCAGTATTTGCTCATAATGTTTTCAAGGAATTAAAACATTTGGCACAGTTAGGCTTTTCTCAACTAGTTCACGGGAACATAATGATTTACAACTTGTAATTGGAGTTGTCTTAACCAACACAGATAATTTTTAAGATGTCATTATGATTGTTGAATATTAATAATGATTTTTCTGTAATTAGTATTAGCATGTGTTTTTTACTTTCAAAGAATTACTATGTTCGTTGTCCATCTTCAACGGTGGCTTCCATTAATTGAAAAATACAACAGGAAGCAGGGCTAGTTTACAGTTTATTTTTTATCACTTATTTAATTTCTCCTTTAATATGATATGTGACAAAAGCCGTTTTTTTTTGGCACAAATTTTCCAAACCAGTTTAAAGTGAAGTCCACATGTGTAAATTAAAAAGCTGTTTGTTTGCTGTGCTCGATGGTGGGAGACTCAGATGGCAGATAGATAAAGGCAGCCTTTGGGAAAGCAGACACTGGGTCTTTTTCTGAGGTTCAAAGTTAACTTCAGGCTGAATTTTCCTCTTCTTGTTCTTGAAGACTATTAACCTGCACCTTTAACTCTCATTTATTCTCAGCAAGCACTGGTAATTTGTTTCTCCTTGGACAAAGAAGAGGCTTTAAAGATCTTTAAAATCTGAAATTTAAATTGTCCAAATTGTGTGTCTCTACCTTGCAGTCTCCCTTTTTGAGTAATCCCACCCCTGGCACCTTTCTTTATCTTGTTAGTCTCAGTTTAGGACAATTATTCAGTATTTGCAAACATATTCTCTTGTTTTCTTCTTTCCATAAAGGAAAACATTTTCTCATTATGACATTGCAAAAAGTCTTTTTTAATCACTGATTCCTTATCTTCATTTTTTTTCCTGTAGTTACTGAAACTGTCATAGGAAGCATTCTCAAATAACCTAAAATCTACCCTCAGCTAATTTGGTACCCTCAAAGTTACAGCAGATTTATCAAAACTTTAATTCAAACATGAGAGAATTTTAATAAGGAAGGTGGAAACAATTGACTTGTGGTTTTGACATTGTTAAACAAGAATATGTTTTGATATTGTTAACCAAGAACACAGCTGCTTTGGCTACTCCAGGAGAAAATCCTTATTTTAATCCTGGCTTTCCTGTGTTGCTGGGTGGGCATTAAAGCTTAGTGCCCACAGTTGTGTGTAGGCATCAGCTGCATGGGGAGGTGAAGACTGGGGAAACACTAGTCCTGGTAACTTCACAGATGGCACTGTTAAAGATAGACAGGAGCAAAGTGCATTTGAATTGTCCATAAAAGCATTTAATTCCACAGCAATGTTAATGGTGTTTACCCAATATGAGAGAAGATGGTTCTCCACCCACTCCCTTTATTAATTGCAGATGTCTCTTTCTCCTTTACAAACCGGGGCTGCTACTTTTAAAATGCAGATTTCAGTTATCTTGAGAGAAATAATCTGTTTCTTTTTCCCTATAAATCTCTTTCTTTCATGTTGTGTCATATTAACTCTGCATACAGTTTTCTTTGCACCTTGAAACAGTTCCAACAATCCATTCATCCATTTCAGAAAGTGGCCCCTCCAGGTTTTTGTGTTTTTTTTTTTGTTGCTATTATTTTTTAGTAGCGCAGTTCACAGGAAGGGTAATACAATTAGTTCAAATTTCAGGTAGCATTTCAGGCTTTCTAATGGTATTTCTCATGTTTGTTTTCAATATATCACACTTAATTAAAGAAAACAAATAAATAAAAGTCCTGTCTGACACAGCTGGAGTACTAAATAATTCCTTTTTGTTACTTTTCCTTGCCCTTTTTCACAATTTTCTTTGTCTTGCAGTATGCTGGCCTGTGAGTACTTTAACATTTGTTAGTTTGTCATATAAATTGACATATTTATCCTTTACTGAAATGTTAGTTTAATTACTGAAATGTCAGCTTTTGAACTCTGGCTATTTCACTTCAATGCATAGTTTGTTGAATATATTCAGATCATTCATATACTTTTATAAGCCACTTAATTTTGCTGCATTGAAAGTCCATTTTTCTAATTTCTGTAGTAGATCTTATGATTATCACCTGACAAGTGTCTGATCAGCAGCACTATGGAAAGATTTTGTCTGTGTCAGTCTTCCTAGTGGGAAGTTGTACTGTAGAGACATTCTTTTCTTGGAAGTGCACAGCAAAGGTTGGGGGGCCACTGGGCACAGGTTGCCACAAAGGACATTCCAGTCAGATAATGGGAAAAAATAATCCACCATGAGGCTGATTAAACATTGAAACTGGTTGCCCAGAGGGTTTGTGAAATCTCCATGCATTCAGAGCTCAAGTGGAAGGCCTCTGAGAAATTTGATCTATCTTTGAATTTATACCTAAGTTTGAGGTGGCCCCTGCTTTGAGCAAGAGCTTGAATCAGGTGAAGGTCTCTTCCAACCAAAATTATCCTGTGGTTCTATGATGGATCTGCTCTGGGTGAGCTACAGACACCCTTGAGGACATGTCTGCAAAGTGTGGATACTTGAGATGACAGGGTCACTGGGCATCATTGAATTGTATAGATTTTATTTCCTTTTGTGATTCTGTAAATCTCTTCAGAATCACTTTAACTTTGCCTGAGAAGCTTTTCCAAATTGCCCAGTCTGCTATTGTGTTCTACAATCCTCCTAGAATATGAACTACAAGGGGCAAGTTATATAGGTTGTCTGCCACCTATGCAGTGAGATATTGGAAGGTTATAGTGGCTTAAAGTCTCCCCCAGGGGCTCCTTTCCTACCACAAGCATAAAAATGATTCCACTTATCTGTCATCTGGTCTATGCCTTGAGAAAAAGTAGAACCACTGGAAATCACATAACTTGAAACTATTTTGAGCTAATATTGCTCCACACTGTGCATTTTTAATTCATCTATGCTTCCACTTTGGAAACTGCCATTCAGAGGCATGCTCAGTTAAACATGGAGATAACAGTGCAAGTGGTAGAAGGCTATTTGCAAGTAGCAGTGATGATGCTGGCAGACTCACCTCATTTTGGTGTTGCTGTTCGAGAGGGGTTGTATGCATGTTTGTGTGCATCAATGAGGAGCAGACATCTCAGGAGAGTTACAGTGTGTGTTTTGAGTACTGCAAGGTGCGTGTCTATGAATTGGCTTCTTCGGTTTATAGGTACCTCTGAATTGGAAGGAGTTATGTACTGGACCTGGCTCGCCATGCATAAGGTTATTTCTGTGTAGGAGATGTGTGTCCACAGTATTTCATCCACCCACTTCACTCCTCTGAGAAATTTTTTTAACACTAAATTTTCCATTCCATTGATACGTGATGCACTGTATAAAATACTGAGTAAATATGGTTGCTAAGAGCTTTATTTGTGTTATGTTCTATGCTAATTTGAGTTGAATTAAGACTTCAGAGAACTGAGAAGGCTGGTCTTAAAGCTCCATTTGCTAAAATTATCCTTGCAAGTTTGGACATAATAACCCTAGGCCAAAAAAATATAAAGAAAAGTCATGAAAGTGATTTCATGACAGAACTATAATCCCAATTTTATAAGAGATTTGTGTTGAATATCACTGCATTTTTAAAATTCATACATTTTAATTAGGTCAAGTCAAATATTGTATATGACCAATAAAAATAATATATAGTGTGTATAACGTTATATAGCATATTGTATCTTATACATGCTCTTTCAATTTCATGCTGAATTTCAACTCACTGTTTCCCATGATTTTTTCACATTTCATCTATGTAAAAATGATTATTTGATGAAAATTATGTTGAAATAATGATGTGTCTTTTCTTACAGAAATCTTTATCTTACGTGATACAAACCCATAGATTATTTCAACTCAGAGATATAGCACAGAAAGAAGGAAAATACCCGTGCTTCAAGCATCTATTAAGTCACAGCTCTTCACAGTTACTGATTAGATTTTCATTTCACCGCAGTGGTGTAACTACTCTGTATGGTTAAGTTGAGCAATATCAGAAGTGTTCATCAGAGACTTTAGGAAAAATCTGGTATTCAAGGAGTTTATCTGTATAAATGTATTGCTACAGAGGCATGAGTTGATGCATTACAAAATCCCCTTTGGGCCTATCCGTGTTTGTAATGTAAAAGTAAGAATACACTTGGGAAAATATTATGAATTTTTCTAATGCCATAGGCACCACTTTCATCTGGTATAATGATGAATTTTCTGTAAACATGGAAACAATGGTGCACCACATTAGCTCACACTAATAAGAAATACAAATTCTGCAGCTAAAACATACTGGAAGCCTAAATGAAAATGAGACATTTAACTGAAGCAAAACTAGCCTACAGTGGGTATTAAAAAAATATAATCAACCTAAGCACAGAAAAACTACTTGCAAAGTTTTATTTATTATTTAAACAAAATAGAGACTCAGCCATAGTAGTAATGTCACGAATTAATATGAAGTCACTCTGATGGCAGTTACTGAGTCCTCTCTGTCTTACTGGAAAGTATATGCCTTTTCTTAGCAGATCTTACAAATTTAGCAAGCTGTAAAAATGTACAACTGGCCATTCTGTGTGTTCTAAACCCATTTCAAATGAAAGACAAGAGATGCAGTGATCGTCTTTTGCTTCTACATTGGCTATTGTGTTGGTTCCAATACTTCAAATGGAAACTGCAGTCACTAAAATTTCATATAAGCAACCCACTGATATTTTTATTTTCTTTTGTTTTCACAGATTAAGATGCTTGGTAAAGCAGCTGGAGAAGGGTGACATTAATGTGGTGGATTTAAAAAAGAATATTGAATATGCAGCGTCTGTGCTGGAGGCAGTTTATATTGATGAAACCAGGTAAGTCTCAGGGGGAAATAAAGAAAAAGAAAAGTAGATTGAGAATCACATTTTAGAAATCTGGTCTTTGCATGCAATTGGAGCTGCTGTGAGCTGAAAATCTCTGCACATCAGAAGAATTGTATATAAACAAATTGTCTTTTGTGACAAGGTTAAAGCAAAGAAGATTCCAAAGATCAGATGTAACCATCATCTGAAGAGTTTGCCTTGCTTATTATTAATGTTCACAGTATAAAATAATAAAAGTTTTCTGAAGGGTGGATTTTCTTTCCCCCACAGGCCACATACCAATAATCGTGCTGAGTAATGTATCATCACTGAAAAAAGTGGGCTGTTTTGGAATGAAATGCTCATGGAGATGAGTCAGAATATTCTAATCTGGCCTATAAATACATAAATTCATGAAAAGCTGTGATTTATTTTATAACGTTTGATGCTTTGTTTATGATTATTGTTACTGGCAGTATTGCTGGCAATCATCTTTAATGTGGGTTGACTCCAATTAAATCAAAAGTTCAGAGTATTTGGTTTCTTGAAAGAGTTGTAAGACATGTACTATATTAAAGTTAACTAGCTAGCTTACTGGCCTCCTTAAGATTTTCTAAACAGAATGGTCTTGTAAAGATATCTGCCAAAGCTTCTTCAATACTGCTGGAGCATGCAGTGTATATCTTGGTTCCATGCTATATTTAAGAAGTCTGCCATCACACTGATTACTTCATGTACCTTACTCTCAATCTACATATTTGATAGAGAGGTTAAAGTGCTGCTCTAGCTTTTTCCTATTTATTTTCTTTGATGTTTGTGATTCACACAATAAACCTTCCCTGCTGGGGATTTGGAGCAGTGGTCCATTTTTCAGAGATTATATTACAGACTAGGTTGGCAGGATCGCTTATACTGGTGTCCTGCTGTTAGGGTGCATGCTTGTCCAATTCTATGAAACACTGACAAAACTGTGGTAACAGCGAAGACTTTCCTGAGCAGTATCCCAGCTGCAATATAGTTCTTGGGGATGGTTTCAGAAGTGTTTCTAGTGATCCCAAGTTAAATACGCAACTTGAAAAGCACTGGGAACCTCAGTGACTTCAAAAGGGCTCCTGTATTTTGAAGTTGTTTACAGATTCAGTTAAATTAAGCTTAACTGAGCAGTCTTGGGTGAACCGTCTTATGTGACTTCCAGGGGACATGGGCTTCATTAGAAAACTGAATGAATTTAAGGCACAGCTACAGGCTGGGCAGAGAAGAGATTCAGAGCAGCCCTGTGGAGAAGGACTTGGGGGTGCTGGTCGATGAGAAAATGAACATGAGCCAGCTTCAGTGTGCGCTTGCAGCCCAGAAAGCCAACTGTATCCTGGGCTGCATCACAAGGAGTGTGACCAGCAGGTTGAAGGAGGTGATCTGCCCCTTTGCTCTCATGAGACCTCACCTGGAGTATTGTGTGCAGTTCTGGTGTCCTCAACATAAAAAGGACATGGAACTGTTGGAACAAGTCCAGAGGAGGGCCATGAGGATGATCAGGGGACTGGAGCACCTCCCGTATGAAGACAGGCTGAGAAAGTTGGGGCTGTTCAGCCTGGAGAAGAGAAGGCTGCGTGGAGACCGCATAGCAGCCTTCCAGTATCTGAAAGGGGCCTATAGGAATGCTGGGGAGGGACTCTTCATTAGGGACTGTAGTGATGGGACAAGGGGTAACGGGTTAAAACTTAAACAGGGAAAGTTTAGATTGGATCTAAGGAGGAAGTTTTTTATTGTAAGGGTGGTGAGGCACTGGTATGGGTTGCCCAGGGAAGCTGTGAATGCTCCATCCCTGGCAGCGTTCAAGAGCAGGTTGGATGAAGCCTTAGGTGATACGGTTTAGTGTGAGGTGTCCCTGCTCATGGCAGGGGGGTTGGAACTAGGTGATCTTAAGGTCCTTTCCAACCCTAACCATTCTATGATTCTATGATTCTAAATTAAATATTTTAGAATACCGGTAGTTAGTATGCCACCGTGGATATATTTATATCAGTTTTGCTGGCTGACTTACGTTAATCCAGCTTCCTTGACATTGAATCAAGGGTCAGTTTGGGGATTCACATTAGTTTACAGTCATATTTCTGGTTAAATTGAAACAGGTTCTTATGTTGATAGATACAAGAAATGATGAACAAAATTATCTTTGGGCTCATGTTACTGCAACAGAGGCCATAAAATTTCATTTTTCAGCAATAGTTTTAGTTGTAAATCTTAGCACATCTCAGGTGCTTGGGAAGCATTGGAAGATCACAGCGCTCTCTCTGCTGTAACAGGATGCTGTGTGGTCAGAACTTAAGCATGCATTTTGCATTAATAACTACAGAAGCTGTGTCAAAGCTGCATAGGGGACAAGGACATAAACCATCAATTATTCCTTCCATACACTTCCCAAACACTGTGATTAAATGGGTATAGTATTAATAGCTCTTTCTGAGCAGTAGCACCAGGACAATGAATATATTGTGAGGTTTATTTAGTTTCTAAACTGAGGCAGCCTCTGGAAATGAATAGTATTCTTACAATGAGGAATCCCGTTTCCTGCCTCTGTGTGGGAGCATCAAGGCAAGTAACAGACATTTCAATCAAAGAGAAAACTGGTACACCTGAAAATACATAGGCTTTGGCAGTAACAGGTGCATTATTTTTGCTGTAAGCAAATCTTTAAGTAAGCTAATTGCCCTCATAGGACTTGACTGCAGGATTGTTAAACCGCCTAAATGAAAATAAACATATATTGTTTTATAGCGGTTTTGAAGGTTTTCATAGTCCTTAGGCTACCTTTTTAACCCTAGAGGCAAAATGGTGATTATTGATTTTCCCAAATTCTTCTTCAGTATATGCATGAAGCTTTTGCTTTATGCAACAGTGTTTAATCTTACTTATTTATTGCATCCAGTATTTTGCAGAATAATCTGATTTTTCACTGTACTAAGACAGAAATGAAATACCTGAGACACGTATCTTGTTTTCTCTGATTTATTGAATACTTCTGTTCTCCACCGCAACCTCAGTTTGTAAACCTACCAGATTTTGGTAGCATTCCTTATATAATTGTGCATTAAGCATACATTTTATGTGTATCATCTCTCCATACCTATAGCTGTATTTCTGAAGTATATGTATGTAGACATATAAAACAAATTTTCTTGCCCATAATACTCATGCTACAACTAATAGTTAAACATCGAGTTACTTTAATGAAATACTTTTCAACTTCTTCTGTTTTTAGTGGCTTGCATTTTATTCCCCGTATTCTTCATTTTGGTTTATACTGTTTGATTTTGTTTTTAATTTCTCTTCCTTGGACTCATATAGTCTCCATGAAATTCAGACTTCAAGTGATGCAGTTTTGAACCTAGTGGTCTGTGTGAAATGATAAGCTGAGCTTCTACTTCTTAGTTGGACAATATTATGTGTAGTGCTGTTTTAAATTTTGACACTTCCCCACTAAAAGAAAAAATAATTAAAATATTTACTGTGTGGCAGAGAGACATTGTAGTCACCACTAGTACTTTCATAGTAAACTCTTTTGCATGGCAAACTGCAAAGATAATCAGGTTTTAAATAGCATGACCAGTATTCTGTAGTCTAAATCTTCACTAGAACATTTAAAAATAAGCACACAAAGACGGTCTCTTCAACTCTTCAGGTTCCGGGAAGCTAATCCATAAGGAGTAAAGGTAGCCTATCATTGAATCAAATGGCAGTGGAGGCTGGAATTAGCTCGTGTGGTTATATTTATTCTCATTCCCACCAGATAATATGGGTTCTTTGTCCTGCACAGAGCTACCACTGTTGGGAGTCTGGAACTGAGTTAACTGAACTCATTAGTAGATTAGAATAATAGTTTAGATCAGAAGCAGAATGGCCCATTCCTGCTGAGCCTGAACATACACTTATATATACACATATATATATAATAAAGTTAAAATTACTTCAGTAACTTTCTTACATATGAAGTGCTGTATGGTTTAAAGTAATTGCTATAGCACAGGACAATAACAATTAATACACTCAGCAGAGCAGTGAGAAAAACATCTGAGTACAGATTACTTTTATTAACTAAGTCCCAGAAGGAAGTTGCATGCTTTACAGGATATAATAGCTCCTGAGATTTGGCTTATAACATTGAAAATTTAATGATGCCTGGTTCTACAAGGTATGAAGTATTGCAGGCTTAGGACCAAAGCTTCAGTATGCAGTTTCTGCAACTCAAATGAAAATACCAATGCTTTCTATTTTAAGCCCATGAGGCTTCAGCCCTGAATTTTGTCCTGATGAATTTACTGACCCATTGATTACATGTCCAAGCAGAAGAAGACCTCAGCTTGTATCAGCCACCTAAAACTGAATCCTGTCTGTGGTGTTCTCTTCCCCACCTTTCTGGTAGACTGACTTCTGGTAGACTGATCATCTGAGAGAAAGCCCTCTTAAAAATCTCTACAATCAGATTAGGAATAGTGACTAACAGAGTTGGTTGGGAGCATCCTCCTAACTCATCTTCCTGTTATGATGTATATCCTATTAAACAGCTAAATAACATGGTCCCACCAATGGTTCCACACCTACTGCAGAAGGACCTTCTGCAACTCTGAAGAGGCACAAAGATGAAAAAAAGCAAAATGAAAAATCAAAGCTAAGGTCAATAAAGAGATCCAAGTATGAAGTATCTAACAGAACGTGTTCAATAATGTAGACAAGGATCAAGGAAGAGCCTGGCCTGTTCCACATCTCTGGGAACCATTTATGCTACTTAAAAATTAAATCTCAGGCATTAGTCTAGCAAAACTGCTGTTCTCTTTATAAGCCTGAGCTTTCTTCAGTGACCAGTTCCAATTTGACTTCTTCAAGCACGTCCAGAGAAGGGCCATGAAGCTGGTGAAGCGTCTGGAGCACAAGTCTGAGAAGGAGTGATTGAGGGAACTCAGGTTATTTTGCCTGGAGAAAAGGAGGCTCAGGGTGGACTTTATCACTCTCTACAA